CTGAATTTATACCTGGAATTTAAACGGTTCGTTTCAGTGAAGCTCCGCCCATACCTGCTCCGACAAAGCACACCTACAACAGCATCTTATACAAGGCTGCTGTTGTATTGGCCTTGGTAATCCAGTGGTTTAAGCTGCTCCCCTTTATCTTGTTTTGCCACGTGTTGACACCAGTTCGACTCGCGGAGTCTGCAGTAATTTATTTAACCAGCTGAAGCAGATTTAAATTTTTAGTAATGCTTCCTTTTACAGTCCCCTAATTACTAAGTACTTACATGGTAATTACATAGTAAGTTAAGGCGTATAATTGTGTAAATAAAGTGTAATTATTGTGTAAAGCAGTATTTACTGGGAATGAATAATACAAATAAAAATTAGAAGTGAACCTGAGTTACTTGGTAATAATTGTTTAAGAACTCAAACAATAACACACTTAAACTAACTATGTAATTACCATGTAAGTACTTAGTAATTAGGGGACTGTAAAAGGACGCTTTACCAAATGTCTTCATATTTTTGTTTTATTCTTTATTTTCTGCAAAATGGGTTTGATGTCTCTAAACGTCTGACAATTTTTAAGCAGCATTTTAATTGATACTCTGCTCACCTCACATGGACTCACTTTGACAAAATAAACAAAGAAAGTAAAGAAAGAAATAAAAAGATTAGTCCCAGGGCTGACAACTTTTCAATCCATGTGAGAGGGGGGCGCTTCACCTCCATGTTCATATTGTGACAGTGACTACGTTTACATGCAGCCAATATCCGGGTTATGATCAGGTTCAGGTCAGTATTCGGGTTTCTGAGTTGATCAGAATAACCCGTTTACAAGCATAAATAGAAAGAGTTACCCCTAACTTGCATAACCCAATTTAAATGCAGACGTTGGGGTAGCAACAGGACGTATGGACTACGTCAAGACGCAGTATGCATCATTTCCAGTTCTTCTTGTTCCGGTATCCATGAAAACAACATGTTTCCCAGTTCGGAAGAGATAGCGACCGCGTTTGCGCTTTAGTGCTGGTATTGACCCACCGATGAAGACAGAGGTTTCCTCGTCACTCCAAAAGTGTGGTGCTGAGCCGCGACTCGCCATGTAGCTCCCAACTTGTTGTTTACTTCCGGTGTTCTGGCGCATACAAGACGTCTCGCTACTCAAAAGACCAAGATTCCTTGCGAACAGAGCATGTGCAGAACACACGCTTTGATGGGGATATCCCGATATGTGTTTACACGACCAAACATTCGGGTTAGAAAAGGGTTACCCCAGGTGTAGTAACCGGGTTTTTAAAAACCCGGTTATGAGCATATCCGGGTTTTGGGCGATGTTTACTTGGACCTGCGGAACCGGGTTATCGTGAATATTTGGGTTTTAAAAGGGTTACTGGCTGCATGTAAATGCACTCAGTGAGGGGGTGGGTTTGATGACTGTTTCATCTCTGCAAGCTTACCGTGAGAACAAGGGGGTGTGGGGGGCTGTGTGTGTGTGTGTGTGTGTGTGTGTATGTGTGTGTGTGTGTGTGGGGGGGGGGGGGGGGTCTTCGGCGTGAGATATTGGAGGTGTGGCACGAGAGTGAGTAAGGAGGGTCAAACGCATGTCTCACGCTAACTGTGTGAGAGTCGTCAACCCTGCAGTTCTTATATTTTAAACAGTTTACTGAAAGGATTGAAAACATAACAGTGGCAAGTGTTGCAAAAATAAAAATAAAAATATAAAAAAGTTACTGCCTCGATGGGGAGTTGAACTGCTGCAAAACAACATACCAGTCTAACACTCTTACCTCTGGACTACTGAGTCACCTAACACACATATCCTGTGTTGGCCAATACGTGCATCTTTGTGGTCAGGACACATGGTTTTTACGATGATGATTTGTCCTCGATGCAGAAGTAATTAGCCAGAATATGCACTCTGGCACCAGTGGAGGTTTAAAGCAGTCATCTGTGACATGAAGGTCACATTCTCAACTGCAGCATGATATCAACCGCTCTATGCCCGCAACTAGAAGAAAGTGGGCGTTATTGACCCACTTCCAGGGGAGGCGGGTTTCAGATCACAGACTAGCTTCAGGGGGGTGAGTAGGGCCTGATGACACACTTAGTTTTCATCCGTGTGTTTGCAAGATTTTCAAAATAAAACTCAAAATTTGCAGCTGATACAGGAAACTGAATGAATGCAGCCAAAAATGGGTTTGGGGGTACTTTTCATGAGGAAATCATATCACAAGATAAAAAGCTCCAAATGTGGATTTTCTATGATATGTCCCCATTAAAATATGTTTATTATACATGAAGTTTAGTTTTTCTCTGATATATTCCAGTTCAAAGGTCACTATTCCATCAGCTTGGTAGCCCTTCGTGTGGCTCAGTGTGCATGAAGTAGATCTCAGCTTCACAAAGGTTCATGAGCCCTCCTCCAGAATATTAAGGTTCAGTGGAGAAACATAAATAGAGACAATAATAGAACAAATTCCCAAGGTCTACATGTAGATGTTGCAGTAGTTCCTACTTTTGAACTTATGTCTCCATTCAGCTAATGTACACAATTCATTTCAATCAAAAGAAGAAACTGTTGGGAGAAAAAAAGCTCTTTCTTTTTCTTCACGCTCCCGGAGTTGGTATGACGATGTGCTTCCTCTATTCTCTCCCAGGGGTGCTGTGCACTTAAGTGCAATTGCAAAAGACTATCAAACCCTAAAGGAGGGAAATCTGATTCAGAAACTCTCCCTCCAGAAGTCTAGCCTTCTTAAGGGCTTCGCTGCAGCAGTTTTTGGTCACTGCTGTTCCTCAGTGACCAATTAAACAAAATAATGTATTGTCAGAGGTTCAGATGGGTCACACAACTGAATAAAACCAAAAACATAAAGAACAATTTGAATTGCAAATGGGAACTGCTATAGCTACAGCCTTCAGGGAGTGGTAGTGGTTTGTGTGGTCCTTTCAAAATAAAGGCTTAAATTCAACGAGGGAATGAGGTATCGCAACACCAGCACCACTGAGGAGGGTGTTGTGAACATGTATCATAATTAATTCATCCTAATTATTTAGAATGAGGTCAACAAGATTAAGAATTTTGTAAATAGTTTTGCTGTTCTGCATTTTAGAGGTAAAGTAACTTATTTGCTACATCCTTCAATCCAGTTTACCTTCCTTCCAAAACTTTTTCATAATTACAAGACAAACCAAAATAATGAATAAATCTGAAGGTTATTCAAATGTAGTTATTCATGATTTAAAGGTGAAACTTTGTACAGCATCTTTTCTGCACCAATTACAGCAGAGAATCTCCTGTTTAGCATGTTTAGCCACTGGGAATGTTGCTCATTCCTCAAGGCAGAACTGCTCCAGTTTCTTCCATCTGGGAAAGCTGCTCTTGTTGTACAGCCGTCTTAGAAGTCTGATGTAGATTATCAGTCAAATACAGATCAGAGGAAGATTTAAGAGTCTCTCACTTACTTTTTCTTGCTTCGCTAATCCCAAATATTGTTACATTATAATACAGCCACCGCCGTGCTTCAGTGTAGTGTTCCAGGGTTGTTACAAATTGTTTTAATTGCAACACATGAAATACTTTTACTTTAAAAGTTCACATGTTTCTCATTTGAACCAAAGGACCTTCCACCATTTTCAAAAAAGACGTTTGTGTTCCCCTAGTGGGTTTTTGACATTTTTTTTTTAAATTTCCTCTTAAAGTAGCTTTCCGGAATTCTCTACTTTCAGAAATTATGTATGGTTTTCCAGAAATCCATGAAAGTGATTATCTTATCATGTACTGTGATAAAATGTAAGCAATACGTCTTTATGTATTTTTTGCTCAGCACGCCCCCTGCCCCGCAGAGCTCCGTGCAATAGGAAACTGAGCACCGACCAGAACTAATCAATAGCAATAAACTACCGCTCTCTCCTGTGAGGCTTTACGGATCCTGCAGTTACCTCTCAAATTAACGTTACCTGGTTGGTGACCGTTATTATTGCTTTATTTATGATTACTCTTTTAATTCAGTGGCTCTAGGAGAAATATTCAGAGCCTTGGATGGTTTTGGGTGCATTTCTGGCCTTGCAATGTTGCAAACTGAGGCTGTTTTTACAGCACAAAAAGTCAAAATTTATTGATTATATTATGAGATTAAACGGTGACATTTTTTCTTTAAATGTTCAAAATATATTAAATAGTTAAATTAGACCAGTTTCAATGCTTTTGAAAAGCATTGTACAGTAGAACAACATACAGTATACTCCTAAAGAAGGTGGACATTTTTTAGTCTTTTGAGTTTAATTTGAGTTTAATTAGCGGAGCTCAAATACAGCAGTGGAGTCAGTGATGAAGAGGTAAAATAAAAGGAATTTAGGCTGAATCTCTGCAGCAACTGGCAACTCTACATGTAAGTTGTGCTCAAATTGGCTGTCTGGGGACATCTAGGTTTGAGTTGAAACTTTTGATCTTTGGATCAGTGTGGTAGAACGTATATGCACCTGCCAGTCAGAACGGGATTTAGGGACGTTTCCCTCTTGTGTCAATTCTGCAAATTTATTGTTGCATGAAATTACTTAAAATCAGCACCTCCTACTTCTGATAGAAAAGTGAAGTCATGATGCTAATATTTATTCTGTGATCTGTTTTTCTCTTAATGTTTTGGGCTTACATGATCTAACTTCGTTTTTGTTAAATTATTCCTTGGGTTTTTAATTGGCATTCAATTACAGGATAGAATTAGTGCTGTAGTAAAAAAAATTACAAACATCAGTAATCTGTATGCAGGAAGAGAACGTAAAAGTTTTAGTCAACTGGTCCTTGATAGAGTTCATGCTTCAAAAAACAAACAAAAACAGACCAAACAACCGTTTCTCCCCCCAGCCTTGTCTTCAAGGTTCAGGAAAATCCCAAAAAGTATTGCAAATGTAGTAATTATACATTTTGTGGCAGTTTCAAGGTGTTTCTACTTGGTTTTTAATGAATCCAGCAACGCAGTTTACATTCACCTCCAACAGCAGATACAAACCTCAGCAGCTGGTATGCCTTCTGGGGGGCGACACTGTAACAGCACCTCCTGCTCCAGCGACACTTCTTTTCCAAGGGGTTCTTGTTCAAACGACTTCTTTAGGTCTGAGGAGAGAAGCAAGACATTTATAATATTTAAAACTCAATTTTACAACATGAACATTTAAAGATGCATTTTAAAAAAATTAAACAAACAAACAAACAAACAAATAAATAAAGCCCCTTCTTTCCACCAGACATGTGAGCAGTGTGTAACATAATACAGGCATTTTACCCATGAGCTCCCTCCCAAGCTGGGACCTTTCAGACGCAAAATGGGAGCAATAACAAGCAAGGACTTTTATTTTTAAAGATTACTGATGTTTTTCACTGCTTTTGTTTTTGTTTAGACATCTCATGGGGCTTAAATGAGATGTACAGTTTTATGTCATCTGCATAAAGATGGTAAGATATTCATTTAAAAGAGCTCAGGATGTTCTGAAGAGAAAGTAGATAGAGGAAAAGTAGAGGCCCCAGCACAGAGCCTTGCAGTACACCATGGGTGATGGAGGTGGTAGAGGACTGAACCAGCCACAGAGAAGGAATGTTCAGAAAGATAAGAGCAGAACTACTCCAGAGCAATTCCTGGTAGACGTAACCCATCTTTCAGCCTATTCAGCAGCAGATGATGTGTCAAACGCTGCAATAATAATAATAATAACAATAATAATAATAATAATAATAATAATAATATAACATTATAAATTAACATTAGTATGATTTCTATAGCTACGTATATTACCTCTTTTTTAGTCACTGTTGTTATTGTAAACATTTCACGTGCTGATTAGCTCATTGTTAGCGTTGTTGTTGTTAGCCTACCTAATATGAAGTCATCGCTGCAGATTTGGGCATTTTTAATGATCTGCTACTTCCATTCACTTCTTCTGACAGCTTACAACCAAAGATGTCTCTTAGTGGATGGAATTCTGTAGAACTTTGCGCAATTTGTTGTTTTTATCAAAGCGATTGGTGCCAACAGCAGAAAAAGACATGATTTTTTTAGCTTTTTCTGCAACGCACAAGCACATTAGGGTGGGAGGTGCCACAGACCGATAAGGGGTCTTTATGTCCACTCTAACAAAAAATAAACATATTTTGCAAGTGGTTCAACGTCAGTGTGAAAGTGAGTGGAACCTTACTTTCAGAGTGACGCAGTAATTATGGAGTTGGTGCTAATCTGAGTCAGCCATCCAAGCGCTGAGTCATCACACTCTTTAGTTCACAACAAGGAAAAACACTTAGCTACACTGTCTGGAAAGCCAACTGCATGGATGTGTCCACGCTCAGATTCATTAACCACATGATGCTCAGCTACAAGTCCTCCTCTCCATCACAATGCAAAACTTAACCTTGTGCTCATTCTTTATACATTCAATAAAGTTCAGGGATCTCTCCCAGGCCAAAGACAATAAATGATTCACATAGACGGTTTGCATGCTGTGATAAATGACAGCATTACAAAGCAGCATGGAATGTGCAGCCTTTTCTCCCGCTGAACACTGCAGAGAGAACTCAGATGTTATTTCATTCACATCGCGTCACGAAAAAGCTCACAATAGTACATTCATACCATCAGAGACACGTTAAAACCAAACATGTGACAGGAACACAAGAATAATAGCGCTAAGGAGCTTTTAACAGGATCACGTCCAAACCACATAAGGAAGGTAAACAAATGGGAACCATAATGCAGGCGGTTTATTGTGCTGGGTGTCTTTTTTTAATTACTTAATGCATTTTATTTGTTTTTTGACATTACGTTGTTTGAATGTCAGCTGCTCTTTATTTATTTTCTACAGAGCCAATGTTTTTATTTTCCTTTTGCTCTCCAGGTTTGAGGTTTTCTAGTTATGTGGATGATGTAGACATCTGCATATAAAAGGACTTCATCATTTGTGTCACTCAACGAAAACTTCCTTTAGACTGTAGATGCATCATTTTTTTTAAATTGTTCTTTTTAAAAATAATTGCACACATTTGTGGGAGACAACCCTCTGCCCTTCAGCTTTCGAACTTTCAGGTTTCAAGTTGTGTCGCCCTGCGTCCTTTTACTCTCCTGGTTCCCAGGTGAAGTCTTCATTTCCTCATTTGTTGGCTGTAGTTTCTCATTTTTCAAAGAACACAAACACAGACAAGACTAAAGATTTTTTCTTTCAGACAACAGCAAGTTGGGCCCTGGGGACTTTATCAGGGTTAGGGTCAAAGATGTAGACCATGTCGGCATGGGAGGAGGGCAACAGGAAGAAAAAATGCGAGAGCAAGATTAAGAAACTTTTAAGAGAACTTTTCAGGATTAGCTGAGAAATCTAGACAAAACCAGAGCAGTAGAAAACGGCGTTGCTCTGCTACGCTCCATTGTAACCTCAGCAGGTCTACCATTGGCCCAAACATTGGCCAATCACAGCATTTTATGTTTGTAGACATCATGCGGGCCCAGCACCTGAAGTGCGATGGAAAAAAATGAAAAAGATGCCGTTAGCCCAGAAACAGCGCTCAAAACAGCTTTGGCATCAACTATCAAGCTTGAGTTCAGAACTCCGCCACACGGGTCATCACCACCGCGCCATCAGCCCTACTCTTCAGCGACTCCACTGGCTCCCAGCTAAACACCGGATCCAGTTCAAAGCCCCACTTCTCAGCTTCAAAGCTTTTCACAATCCCCCCCATCTGATCTTTCACACTATTTGTCCAGTCCACTCCCTCCCTCATCATCCTCATGTCCACCTGACGTCCACCCTTCCATCTGACCTCCACAGGTTTCAGATCCCTCAGTCGCTCTTCTCTGATTCACTCCACTTTCAAATCAAGACTCAGATCTCACCTCTTGGATAATACCTACTGTTTAATAGTTATGTTTTGTGATCTGTCCTTTGGTTTTGTACTCCGTAAGCCTCTAGGGCTTTAGGAGTCGTTTCTTTTATCTTGTATTTTGACTTTTATCATTTTTTTTTGCACAGTGACCTTGAGTTCCTTGAAAGGTGATTTAAACAAAAATATTTTATTATTAGTAGTAGTATTGTTGTTGTAATTATTAATATTATCATTATTTTTCTTTTATTAACAATTTAGACTTTTCTTTGAGACACAGGCAGATGTACTAAAATCCATTATTGAACAAAATAATCCTCCAGAACATTTTTTACAGCAAATGTTAGTTCCTGTTTGTGAAGATGTGACTTTGTCAGTGACTCCTTCACATGGGCCTGTGGCTTAAACCACCGTAACTGTGTTCTGACAGAAAAATAAACTGTAAATGAAAAGTTTCAAGCGTGGGAAAGCATAAACGGTGCATATCACGAAGCCTTGTGTGTGTGAAATGACCAAAATGAAACAGCAGTTCCACCACAGAGATGAGCAGCAGAGACAATGAGCCGCATCTGAGTCAATGTGTGAGAGAACGATGCTGCTGGGAGTCCTGCGACACACATTTCACAAAGCGTTAACACGTCCTGTGGAACTTCTGATCCAGAAGGCGAGATTTAACCATCCATGTTGTGTAGAGCTACACTGGTTAAGTGAGTTGCGTGAGTTTTGTAGAAGCTGAAGGAAAACTTCATAATCCAATCAATCCATCTGGAGAAAGGCAGCCTGAATAGAGCACGATGGCTTATTGTGGGAATAATCGCCCCAAAGCTTTAGCTCTAAATCCACCACATGGTGACACACACACACACACACGGACAGAGACGCAAAGACAAAGACGTACACATACTGTCCCACTGAGAAAAACAAACACAGGAAATGGAGACACTGGGACGCTAACAGATGAATTGAATTCCACGCACACCAACAACTGTGCAGGAACAACTGGAGACACAAAGAGGTGGGGGAATGGTGACTAAGGAAAGAGACAAACTTCTCTTGTGCCAGGCAATTCCAGAAACAATTTCCTGGTCTTAATTAGTGAGGGAAATGGAGAAACGAGGAGTTGGCTTAGAGTTGATTTCCATAAAGATTGAGAATGAAATTAAGGGAGATTAAAGCAAACTGCTCGGGGATGATCAGACACACACATGCACGATCGCACATATTTGTAAGCTACAACGCTAGGGTAAACAGAGTTTGCCAGTGGATAGCAACGTAGATATTTTTCCTGCAAGCTGCATTTCAAAGACATGCAATATTGTGTTCATGACACTGAGCGGCCGTATATTATTGTCACTAGACGGTTGTGTGTGTTTTTGTGCCCTAGAGGAATGAGTGCACATAAGGAAGCGAGAAACGTGCTCATTCACTGACCCCACTTCACTCCTCAAGTACAAATAGGACTATTCAGCTTTCTAAATTTAAAGGACAAAAGGATATGTTCTCTAAAATTCCTTTTAGAAATGCAACAGAACTGAAAAGCACCAATGGTGTGAAGAGTCCTCCAGTGTAACCTCTTATTAAAGACAAAGCAGTGTCAGCATCAATTCAAAATGACCTCCCATTGCACAAACACCCCTTTGTCTCTTCCTCAGTCTTCCTCAGTCTAAGCCTCGTTCTCCACCTCCTTCCATCGCTGCCTAAAAACTTCCATCGCTCAACTAAAACTGTTATTATGTTTGTGGTGAGTTTGTTGCCTTGGGCACCTCTACATAAGCACATTTCAGAGCAATTATCCAAAATGGGTGTCTCTGCCTGCGTGCTGCCCATGCCAAATCATAACGGTTTCCCTCGGTGCAGCTGCTCAAGCAATAAAAAGCAATGTGAGATGCTTGGGAATAGGAGAGGAAAATGGTCTCCTTCAGTCTCAGAGAGGATATTTGGAACATGTAATTTACTAGTATGAAATGGGGAAAACACCTCTGGTTTGGAATAAAAATGATCTGATTTTAACTCAGAAATCACACAGCATAGGAAGGTTATCAATAAGCTTTAGATAGCTCAATCAATCAATCAATTGATTGATTGATTGATTGATTGAAGCTTCAGATACTAGCCTGGCAAGCCAGATTATTTAGTCTGGCCACGCTCCATTGACGGCTCTCGGTTGTGGGGCGGGTTCTACCGTTGTCTTTCAAATGATCTCGGCATTCCACTGGACAATGAATGTGACATACTCTTGTTTCACTCTCTTGCAT